CTTAAGACGAACATTACGTTCATTAGTGGGCTTCTATGGCTTATTTTCTTTTTTGTAATTAATTCATTTTTTTTGCTGCTTTAAATAATAGATTATTTGATATGCCGTATGTAAGCTATCATTGTCATGTTGAAGGATAATGGGTTTTGGTTTTGGTTTAGTAATTACATTTATCAAGAAGTTTCGTCACCTGTTTCAATGTTGAATATATTTGAGATATTTTTTTCAGCATTGTATATGAGTTAGTGTTTTTTTTTATTCAAAATTGTGGTGTTTCCAACATGAACATGATTTCTTTTGTGTCACCTAAGAACCTGAATCTAACGATATGTGACATATTGACAAGATTCAACATTTTTTACTGTCCTTGATGGCATTAGTCGAGCTTCCCGAACACTATGGCACTAGCACGACCACACTTGGAATTTGAACAAGTAAAAAAGCTAAAGTCGGGTGTCCCGACTTTGAAATACTCTGTACATATGTTTACAATAATTATAGAAAATAAAAAAAATTTAGAAAATAAAAAAAAAAATTTGATCGATTTTACCTCTCTCGGTATTCGAACTCACGTAAAGGGTGTATAATTGCACATTTACATAGCAATTGCGTCTGTGTGAGTGTATGTATGCCTATGCGCATCAATTCGTGTCTGTGTAAGCATTTTCGCAGTGGGGGTATTTGCAAAATTTTAGTTCGAAATTCCAAGAATTACGGGAGTTAGAGAAAATCGCATTTGCGGGGGAGAGGGGGGAGGGAGGGAAATTCCAAAATATACATTTTCTGCGTATTCACACAAGGCATCTTGGACTAAAATTCGGTGTAGGTCTTATAGTCTCCGAGATATAGGCGATTATACGAATGGAAAATCGGGAAAACCCCCATAGGGGGGAAGTGGGGGGGGAAAATCAAAAAAATAAAACAAACTCGTATAGAATACACACATAACGCATCTTTGTGGAAAATTTGGTGTCTCTAGCTCTTATAGTCTCTGAGATCCAGGTGTTCATACGGACGGACAGACGGACAGACAGACAGACAGGGCTAGATCGACTCGTCTTGTCACGCTGATCAATAATATATATACTTTGTGGGGTCTGCCACGCCTCCTTCTGCCTGTTACATTTTTCAGCTCCCGCAAACCTAATATACTCTTGTACATTTCATGTACAGAGTATAAATATTTATACAAATTTTAACATAGCCTCAACTTTGTATATAGATTTCATAGAAGTGTATTGAAATTAATACAAACCATTTTTGTTGTTTATTACGATATGTTAAGAGAAATTGATAATTATGATTTTAATTACAATTATAATAATAGCTTAAAAATATATCGTATAACTAAAATAACAATGATCGCTGCTGAAATCATTCTATCCTTATCTTAGCAAATCTGATATTTAAGAATTTTCTACATTGCCTTTATTAATAATCTAACTTACATTATCTAAGGAGAAACGAAGAAATATGTCATATACTATGTAGCTGCCTAAGGAATAAAGTTAGTTCGAGTTGAAAGGGGAAAAGGGTGAATGCAGGGTAATAAAAAGTCGTTTTAGTTATGGCAGTGAAACCTAAAATGTGGTCTTTGAATGATCTCATATAGTTACTCTTTTATTTTTAAAATTTCGCTGTGCTTAATTTTAAAATATCGTGAGCGACATTTTTATTCAAATTGATTTGTTAGTGAAAATAGATCTAGAGCTTTTACCTTTAAATATTTATAAACAACGAATATTTTAGATAGCTTTCTATAAAACATTTTTGTCGATGAAATTAACATTCTTTAAAAATATTGCTGTTATAAATATTTTTGAATTTTATTATACTTTTCTATAAATAGTCTGTAATAATAAAACATCATATAAGTAGTTTTTTGTCCTTTTCTGGAATTGTAGATTCGAATACTTATTTAGTATAATTATATATTTAGAAGGAAATGTTCGCCCAACAAATTTGCTGAAGCACTTCTTTGTTAATTCAATCCCATAAATAATTATAATCAAAACGCTGGCAAAAGGTTTTCAAAAACAAGTAAAAAAGCTAAAGTCGGGTGTCCCGACTTTGAAATACTCTGTACATATGTTTACAATAATTATAGAAAATAAAAAAATAAAGAAAATAAAAAAAAAATTTGATCGATTTTACCTCTCTCGGTATTCGAACTCACGTAAAGGGTGTATAATTGCACATTTACATAGCAATTGCGTCTGTGTGAGTGTATGTATGCCTATGCGCATCTATTCGTGTCTGTGTAAGCATTTTCGCAGTCAACCAAACAGCAACATCAACAACAGCCGCGGGCAGCGCTTGAGCAGCGCTGCAGCAGCGCTGCATCAGCAAATATATTTATGGCTATAACTTCTTGTTTAATCGGTCTATCATAATGAAATTTGGTATACGGACACATAATAACCAACTGGGGGTATTTCCAAAATTTTAGTTCGAAATTCCAAGAATTACGGGAGTTACGATTTGCGGGGTAGAGGGGGGAGGGAGGGGAATTCCAAAATATACATTTTCTGCGTATTCACATAAGGCATCTGGGACTAAAATTTGGTGTTCCTAGGTCTTATAGTCTCCGAGATATAGGCGATTATACGAATGGAAAATCGGGAAAACCCCCATAGGGGGGAAGTGGGGGGGAAAATCAAAAAAATAAAACAAACTCGTATAGAATACACACATAACGCATCTTTGTGCAAAATTTGGTGTCTCTATCTCTTATAGTCTCTGAGATCCAGGTGTTCATACGGACGGACAGACGGACAGACAGACAGACAGGGCTAGATCGACTCGTCTCGTCATGCTGATCAAGAATATATATACTTTGTGGGGTCTGCCACGCCTCCTTCTACCTGTTACATTTTTCAGCTCCCGCAAACCTCTTGTACATTTCATGTACAGAGTATAATAATAATTAAAAATTGTTATTTGAGACGGTATTTCATAAATTTTTTGACAAATTTGCTTTCATTGAAAAAAGATTGGATAGATTGGAAAAACGTTAGCAGTAGCTCTCCTATAAGGTAAAAAGAACATTTTTGACCAATTTGCTTTCATTGAAAAAAGATTGGATAGATTGGAAAAACGTTAGCAGTAGCTCTCCTATAAGGTAAAAAGAACATTTTTCTAGAAACTTTTTACTACAATTCTAAATCATTTTTCTTCAAAAATTTTTTGAAGCAGTTCTTAATAATTGGAAAAGGCACTCTTATGAATTAAATCTTATAAGCATTATATCTCTTTGTCAATTTTAAACGGATATATAGTACGAAAAGATGGAACTATTCCAAATTCCTGCTCCCGATGGAATGAAGTTGCCAGCACCTTTGCATAAGTAATTGTTCGAATGATTTTGTAATAAGTACTCCTAATAGATAAATCCGTTTAATACTCGAAAATGTACATTTATGAATGAATGTTTTGTGAGGATTGTCAGTTAATGGACAAATATAGGTAGATATAAATATATAGTAAGCACTATCCATCTATATCTTGCTCTTTGGTTGTGGTTGATGGTATGACGTTGATGGTGGCGTCGATGTTATTAGCGTGGCCAGTTTGACCCAATTCGGCAATTTAGAGTGTGTGTGAGTGTGTGGGTGTCAACGCCTGAAAAGTTTTTGGTTTCGGAGCGCACTACTGTGAAAATATCATGCCACACGCATTTGCAAATATTTTGATATTCGCGCTGTCAGCTGCTGGTCAAAACCAAAACACAAATTGGCAACAGTTTTTGCCACAATATTTTTACAACTGCGCTGAACTTTGCAATATTTGGATAGCCCATATAATTGTGGCCGGTTGTGTGGTTTTGGGCTAATTTTCCAGTCGGTCAGGACGTACAAATGTCGATTTAGTTGCTGTTGTTGTTTTGCTGTTGTTGACTCTGCCACTTCGATATGTTAATCTAAGCCATGACTTAGGCGCTCCCAGGCAATGACCCAATTCTGTCGACAGAATATCAAAAGGCGTCGTAGTCACGAAGCTCACCCACTCACAATTTAAATCACAGCATGTGTGTATTTTTGAGAATGTGTGTGTGGTTGATTTTTGGTAGGAAAAAGGGCCTTGGCACAAGCCAGTTCATTTACAAGGCTAGGGCTACGGTTAGTCTAAAATCGGGCAGCAGGCACTCGACGTCCCTCCCTCGCCATTTAACACTTTCACATTTCTCTCTCTCTCCCTCTTTACTTATCGCAACGAATGGACTTTTACTTTGCCAGTCACATCTATGTACAGTGGAAGCTCCCAGAATTGTTCACCCCCAATTTGTACAAGCTCTTGGTGAATTAGTTTAGTATGAAGGGGAATGAAGAAACTTATCGCATAGTTCCAAAGTACAAATAAACTCAAACCAATTAGAAATATACATACATACATACATATACTCGTACATGTCCATCTTCAAAACGAGGGGAAAAGTAATCCACAAGTAGCAAGAGAGTTTTAATAAGTAGAATTTAATTTCTATCTGAAAACTTAGCAACAATTCGAAGGAATTATTATGATCACTAAAACAATGTGAGGAATGAAATATGCAATCAAGTGGGAAATATAGCTCAAATAAAGAATCAAGCAAGATTTAATCTAATTTAATTCTGTACAGTTAATGTTTGTTCGTTTATTTTCACAAAAATAATCTTAAACATATACTTTGACAAATTATAAGGTCCTGTGAAAAATGTCGAACCATTTATTTGTTTGATTTTATTTTAAAAGTGTGTAGCTTAAATAAGACGTAAACAAGGGAATCTGATCCAAACGTAATTCCGCGTCTACGCTCCTTTATTTTAGTCTAGAGGAACTGCCTTTGATTTATTCATTCCAACGTATGTATGCAAACAATTTTAAATTTTGTTTTTGAATAATTATGAAGGAAAAATGTTTACTAACACATCAAAAAAAACTTAAACTCGTGCTTTCTTGGATTTAGGAGAATCTGGGTACCCAGATTTGTTTATTTTAGCTGTTGAAATCCTTCCGTTCAAACACAGAGACAGATGGACTTCGCTATATCGACTCATATTGTCACCCTGATCATGATCGTAGTATACTATTTTACATTTCATGTACAGGGTATAAAAGGGCGTTTTTATATATTATGAGTACAAGTCTACAAACCAAGATTAAAACCTTGAAATAAAATAAAAATTAGTATGAATTAGAATTAACGAAATACTTACATACTATCAACTATCTGGCCCGGGTGTGCTCGCCGGCCTGAGTCTGGTGTAATTCTTTTGGGCACCCCAAATGAAATGTGAAGTCAGATTGCTCCAATAAACGGTTGAGGGCAAGGTGCATATATTTATTGTGCTTTTAGTCCTTCTCCTTCAATTAAAGATGATCAGAAATCAGTAAGATGATGATTACAGCGAATGATTTAAGTAGCACAGCATTATAGAGCGCTTGTCTCGACTTATAAAAACGTAGTCCTTTTTATCCCTCGTAATTCACTTTCACTACGAAATTTTAAGTTATGGCAGACATCCGCTTTTGTTAGCTATGACTGTACGAGAATGCGGAGCTATGCATGTAGACACACATAAATTCCGCATGGCACTGCTCCTTGGACAGGGCATAGTAGTATGCGCACGAGTATTTGTGTCTCCCTGGATGCCCATTCCAGGCACGGGCTTTTTGTTTCGACTTGGCACAACGTGGCAAACAATTTATCAAACAAAATATGCACTTGAAATACAAAATTTCTGTGTGTGCGCTTTTGCCGAGTGCATTTTTATTTAATTCTCTTGTTTTTGCCACCGTTGCTGCAGTCGTAGTTGTTGTTATTGTTGTTCTTGTTGGCATTATTGTTGTTATTGCTGTTGTTGTTGGATTGTGATAAAGTGTGCGCTGCTGAAATGAATTCGTAAGTGCTTGGGTATTTTCAAATGTTATTCAACTGGCCCAGTTGTGTCATTACATTTTCAGTGGCAAGTAATAGTTGTGAGTGCTTTAAGAAGAAGTGTTGCCTACTTACAGGCTTTATGGCCGCGGCGACTGACTGGCAAGGCAATATCCCATGAATTGAAACCTCCAACTTTTGCCCAACGTCAATTAAAAAGTTAAATTATTCTTATTATTTTGATTTTTGTCAAATTAACTTTTCTCATGCAATGCAACTTCTGTTTGCCAAGTAGAAAAAAACGACACTACACACACACACACACACACACACGCACACCCGCACTCACCCACTAACAACATAATTCCAGTCCTGTTTTGTTTCTGTTTTCCTTTTAAGTACGTAGAGTACATCCGTTGCTTTGGAAATGTGGCCATGGAAATGATGTTGCTTTAAGGTAATCCACGTTGAGGCAATCATACATAGTATTGAGCCCATAAGTTTGGGCCGTGTATCAATTTCAGGACTGTTCGTATAGGAGGAGACGCAGCAGCATAAGTTTGTTTATTCATTGTATGTATGTAGGTATCATTTGATTTGTTTGCTCTTCTGTCTGTCTTGAGTCGTGCACATTAATCCTTGGCCAGGAGCTCAGCCGCAATTCAAAGCCGCCAACTGCTAAGCGACGCACGCATTTTTATTGATTTCGGTAGCTAATGCAAACTAATAAATCTGCTGAATGAGCCGATTTGTAGGTAGACTGCGTTGCTATCGAGCTTCAAAAGTTCTTGAGCTTTATAGCCGGCCCTATACAATGAATGGGCATGGGCTCAATTACGTCTGTCCTCCAGCCTGTCTGTCTGTGTACTCGTATTTGTTTGTTTGTGAACCAGCGCGTGCGTGCGTGTGTAATAATGAACTGTTGCTATTGTTGGGTGTTAGTTTATATGGTTGTTGCTTTTTCTATTGCTTTTGTTGTTCCCGTATTGCCAGTTTCCGTTGTGTTTATATATACATATAATATATAGGACGTATATGTATGTTTGTAGGTGTACAGGCATACTTGTGCATGCACAGTGTGGTTCGTTTAATTAGGTGAGCCTAATATAAAATATAAAATTGTGTCTAACAAAACAATAGACATTCTTCCCACGTTCTTTTCAACGAATTTTGTTATCATACACTTTTCAGTAAGTTATGAATACAAAGTAACAAGCAATTCAAAGTTCAACTGACCCGATTCCAAAAATAATATACTCGTACATGTGTTTCTATCTTTGCTTGTCGAAGTATAATACAGCAAAAATAGTAATAAATAAAAGTAAAAATTGAAAAACATGTCTAAATGCCTTTAGCAAGTTATTTAATATCAATGAAAGCTCTAATGGAGACGTGTTAATCAATAAATGTATCCAAACCGGCAAATAAACTGACATACAATATTTTATAGCTGGTCAGACAAGCAAATCATTTGCACAAGCATTTGTTTCCAAGTAGGTCAGGCTATGTAAATTTAACATATGATGATTGTAGCGAAAAATGCTCTGTCGCTTTATGCCGTTATAGTTTTTTGAGTGAAATAAAAGGCAGTTCACTACAAACTTTTACATAGCTTTTGTTTTTCATGAAGGCATAATAATTTTATTTTCATAATTTGAAATCTACGGTATTGGAGGATTTACTAATTATCCAAAAAATTATTGACAATTGAATACAAGTTATTCCAATGTTTTAATTAAGCAATCTTTTTCTTTGGAAAAGTAAAATGTCTTTTCTCAAATCTTATTTAATTATAAATTTTTTTTAAGTATGAAAACTTTAATCTCTATTCGCTTTCACAGCTCCACAACACCAAATGATAATCAGAACTATATTCGAGACTACCGAATGATAGTGATTCTATGAAGTGTTGTTACTGTTGTGCCTATTTAGATGGACAGTATTGTAGGCTGAAATGTACTATACAAGTATGTGCACACATTTGGTCGATCGAGTTGTCTGCGTCGCTGCACATGTAATTTGTCTCCATTTTTATCATTAAAATAACAATTAAGGCTTTATGTTGCCAGCTGTCTGTTGTCGGTTGGCGCAACTTCAATGCGATTGTGTGTGTGCGTGTTTTGTGAATTTTGTGTGTGTGTGTTTGTGTATAGGAGAATGTGGGGAATAGGGCGCATTGTTTGTAAATGTGTGCGTCATTTGCGGCCTATATATCATTATAAGTGTTTCTCATTTGTGCGAGAGTGTGTGGCTGACTCACTGCCTGAGTTTTGTATAGATCTGGATGTTGTATTGTTGTTTGTATCGGTAGTTTTATTGCATGTAAACATTTATACTTATTGTTAGCTATTTGCAGAAACAAACCCACACACACACACACGCACACACACCCGTACATTGTAACGGGTATAGGACATATCCCAGTAGAGTAGGCGAGATGGTGTGTGTATGTTGGAGAGCGCACGCTATATGTTCCGGCTCGGGCTCGTCGGCTAGTGGGTGGTGTTCGAGGTCTCTCCAATCATACGGCCTTTCATTAAGCTTATTATTTAAAGTTAAAGCGTGCTGTGGGGAAGCCAAAAAAAAAACCGGTAAAGAGATACATGAATATGACTAACAAAAGGATCGCTGGTTGGCAGACCACGTAACACAAGTGAACACACCTCTGGTATTCCCCTGATGGTGTTGAGGAAGTATTGGCCCACCCATCCTTGGTCATTTATATCCAAAAACAATTATGCAAATGACCCCTTTGAACCTCTACATGCTGTGGCTAGCGGAAATCAATGTTAGGCGGAATTTAAGCGAACATTATAAACTTTTTATTAAAAACTAAAATCATAATTTTCAAGGAATTCCAAAAAAAATGACCGTACATTAACCGATAATAGAAATCTAAGGCTAATTATCACTGGATTCGTAGCCAGTAGCAGAATAGGTAAACATATGCCTGCCTTAAAATACTAGTGTAAATATAAATTGAGCAAGGTGAGTAAAGCAACGGCTTGGCTGTAAGAGATGGTTAATAATTGAAATGGATCGTAATATAATAAAAAAAAATATGATGTAAGAGAAAGTGTTGATATTTAAAGTGTTATAAATTCTTGCATCGCTTTTTTTTTTTGTAAAGATTGGCCATAAATTTAAGTAAGTAATGACCGCAATCAAGTATAACGTTATTACGGTGATTTAAAAAAAATAATAATAATAATGCGGAAATTAGACTTTACATGGCCAGCAGGCAGACATATGACGCATATGAACAGGTGTTTTATTTATTTTTTTTTTGTTTTTGTACGCGTGCTCTTCTGCATGAAAGTAAATAAAATTCAAACGGTTCTACTTACAGTTGTCGTCCAACGTCGAAAGATCTTTCCGTTGAGGCGCTCTGCATAGGCTCGTTGCTGCTTACATGCACATTAATTATGATTTTTAATTTGTTTGTAAAATTTTATGTTGAAATTTTGGTTTTAAAAACATGCACTTTTCATACCTTCACTTGTCGCCATGCTTATTAAAATTTTATTTCGAAACGTATAGTCAAAGGGGTTTTTATTTGTTGTTTTGCTTTTTTTTTTTTGTTGCCTTCTCTTTTTCTTTTTTTTCTCTTTGGTTTTCACTTATTTCTTTTTTTTTCCCTCTCTACACACCCGGCCGTGCTGCTTTGCTCACATCGGATATAGATCAATTTAAGTATAAGGCCGTATACGACCCAAAAAAGAAGAATATAAGACGAAAGAATAGAAAAAAAATAAATGCCTAGTTCTCTCGGTTGCACTTTTTTTGTTGTTTTTGCAGGGCCCACATTTGTGTATAGTTTTACATATATATAGTTTTTATAATTTTTTTTTTTTTTACGCAGGCACTCTTCACTAAAGCCACCTGGGGCTTCGCCACCTTTTCGGTGCACGGAAACGCAACAAAAAAAAACAGGTGCCCTAGCTTAAGCCGACGACCGTCATATCGGATATGATCCACGCAACTGAGGCGGTGATTCTTTTCGCCGTTCCAGTGGCCTGAGCGAAGCGCCGATCTCGTTTCTAGCACGCCTCCTTCTCCCGTGCACTTCCCTTTTCCTAGTCGTCGCTCTAGCAAGTGCCCATCAAAGCGATAAGCAAAGGTTAATGCCCTTTATGGGGATTGGACTTTTTATTAAGTGCCAATTCTGCACGAAAACAATGTACAATGAAGAAATAGCATTAGCTTTTGCATTTTATATGCGAATAAACGGAAAAAGTAAAATTTACCCGATATCCGGAAGTGGCACCAGGCAGAATTCCTTTTGCTAACACAATTGAAGTGAAAAATTACTGCAAATTCTCCAAATTTGTTGCAGCAGGCTTAACGCTTTGGCCCAGCCGAATTTGAAACGGACTATAGGTTATACTATATGTATGACCATATATTTGCCAGCCAGAGTATATTGGGCACAACCCGCTCCCATGCGATCTTCAAGCGAAAAGAAAGTATCCGGATGCCGAGGCTACGCAAGAAAACTTTTCTTTGCGGAAATTGCTTCACCCCCTCTTCTGACAATCTCCCTTTGACAGGTCAAGGTTGAAGAAAGGGCCACTGACAACTAGCAAATATTGCCACTGAGCAATACTGAAAATAACCCATAGGTGGCCGATAGCCGTGCGGCTGCAGAAAATAATTTTTTTTTGTACATATATAAAAACAATTATGGAAAATTTGTTTGTTTCGTCTGCTAAGGCAAGAATAATAAAAATGCGATCATAGGCAGTTGGCGCTAAGACGAATCGCCAATTCAAACCGTAACTAAACAAGCAGTGCGTAAACATAAATAGCCAATGAACTGCTTGACTAAGGGAATGCAATTTAATTTACGATATTCGCCGCCAGCGTCGTTACAACATATGCACTTAACCACACGGCATGTCAATTTACTATTGTACGTGGGGGTATGGAGACATTTGCAGAATAATATGCTCTGTGACTTGCCCAATAACTTTCTTGTTTCCATGTGGAAAATTGTGTTCGTCAAGAAATAGAAGAATCGAGAGACACTGACTGTGAGTTATTCCTTGGAAATTGATGCCGAGCTGACATCAAAAACGAAACTTTTTAATTATGTTAATTATTTTTGGAAAGCCCAAAAGTGTGTAACTGAACATTTTGAAATGTTGTTGCAGTGGCATTAAAGTGTCCAAAAAACAAACTTACATTACGAATATGTTCCTCCAGAGACGTCTATACTCGCATCACCACGGCCCCTCCCTATGCTTGACTAGTCGAGCATGGGGTTTATGCATATGCTATTCGTATACAAGTATGTATGATTCTGTCGTCCTATTAGTTTGCATGTTCACAATGCATAAATCTATAGACATATTATATG